CTGGGTGACCCTGCTGATGTTTAAAATATCAGTGGCATAGATTCTAGCATCACAGCAACACACAAGTCACCACAATACAACAAACTGACAGACAAGTAGTGGTTGATATATTTATGGGTTTCATAATAAACACTATGGGAAAACTGCATCCACAAATTTAAAAATCTATAAAATATAATTTTTTAATAAAGCAGTATTTTTCAAATATCACATAATGAAAGAAAAATGTTAATTCAAATTAAAATATTGTTGAAAAATATTTCAATTAATACTTCACATTTACTTTTAATGGATTTTGGTCTCAAGATATACGGTGGTGGCTAATTGCCACCGAGTTGGTTCCAACTCATAGTGACCCTGTGTAGGGTGTCTGAGGCCATACATCTTTACAGGAGCAGAATTCCCCATTTTTCTTCCATTGAGCAACAAGTAGATTTGAACTTCTGACAATGCAGTTAGCAGCCCATTAGCAGCTCAGCTTGCAATCCATTAAGCTAGCAGGGCTTCTTTCTCAACATAGAGAAAGAGAAAATATACTCCTTTTCCTAGAAATAATGGTGGTGGTGGTTATGTGCCATGGAGTCAGTTCCAACTCATAGTGACCCTGTACAGGGTTTCTGAGGGTGTAAATATTTATGGGAGCAGAAAGCTTACCACGGAACAGCTGGTAGTTTCAAACTACTGACCTTAAGGTTCACAGCCTGATTCATAACCACTATGCTACCAGAGCTCCTTAGAAATAATAATGATTAATAATATTTTTGTACAGGCAGGCTGAGTAGGTATTCACATTCACTATCCTAAATATTTGTATGGTGCTACGACTCGACGGCACTTAACAACAACAATAATAGGATAAGCACTGTACTGCTAAGTTCAAGGTAGATGGCTCAAATCCATCAGTAGCTCCTTGGAAACCTTTTACTGACTCAATGACACTTAACAATAACAACAAATCATGAGTATTAAAAACTGACTTATTATACTATGTTGTTAGTGTTAAATGTCATTGATTCAGTTCCTACTTATCGTGACCCTGTATATGATTTCTGAGGAGTAGCTGGTGGTTTGAACCACAGATCTTGTGGTTAGCAATCCAGTGGTTATCCTACAGAACCACACCTGGAGTCCTCAATATACTATTGAACACTAGTACAAAAAAAAAAAGTGTGACATCTAGCTATCACACCCACAACACTCTCGACTTCTCAACTGGATTCAGTAACCCACTGTATCAGAGTTTGACTTGACTCTGGTTATTCTCTAATGGTTTTAAAATGAACAACAGGGATTACAAATGATGAGGCATCCAGTTTTTATGATCATAGTCAGCATTGTTTTTGGATATTTTTGGGGGAAGGTGCTCACAGTTATATGGTTTATTTGGGAAGCTAGCAGTTTATACTTGGGGGTCAGAAATGCTCAGGGTACCATTGTTCCAGTCAACTGCTGATAAATGTCCATAGGACCATAATACACACCATTCTACCAGAATCCTCAACCTTAAGGCACCAGCTCTAGCTCCATGAGTTCAGCAAACCTACCTCCCCAATTTAAGTGCCTGGTGTCACTGTATTCTACAAGCTAGTCTCCTGCCCTAAGTAATTCAACCTTACTTGATCCCATGACTGGGAAGCTCTGTCTCATGCTCTGGTTCTTGATTCTGCTGATGCTGCCTCTCCTTCAGTGCCCCAGAGATCTCAGGGTCCAAATGATGTGTACCACTCCTGGCTCTACCTCTTAGATGATAGTGAGATTCTTCCTCCTGCTTCTGAGATGGCTTATTTTAAGCCTGTTCTAGAATTTCCAGTTTTTACAACTACAATGAACTCTTCTAATATCCACAGCTGAGTCATGTTTTCCTATCAGTATCTTCTTCTACCCTCTCTTACCCTGACTTCTTGTTGTTGTTAAGTGCCGTCGAGTCGGTTCCGACCCATAGCGACCCTGTACAGGGTTTCCGAGGGTGTAAATCTTTACGGGAGTAGAAAGCCTCATCTTTCTCCCGCGGAGCTGCTGGTAGTTTCGAACCGCTGACCTTACGGTTCGCAGCCCGATTCGTAACCACTACACTACCAGGCAGAAGCATTGTTTGGTGCTAGTTACTGACTATGGCTAGAAGAGACTATACCACAACTACACATAACCAAAAACTTTCCAGTAGGTTGTTGTTATTAAGTGCTATTGGGACAGTTCCGACTCATAACTACCTTATACAGGGTTTCCAAGGTTCTTAATCTTTGCAGGAGTAGAAAGCCCCATCTTTCTCCCCCAGAGCTGCTGATGGGCTTCATTGCCAACTTTGCCATTTGCAGTCCAGTGCTCATTGTAAAAGCCTGCGGGCTCCCTACAAATAGGTATAATGTAATATAAAATAATTTTCACTAATTTCAAAATTTAGGTACTCTGTTTTCAAATTTCATATAATCAAGCTAGAGAAAGGTAGAAAACATAAGATAGTAACCATTTTTCACTTGGTAATACTAGTTTTTTTTTCTAGAAACAGTAAAAATAGCTTCAAATCAGGTTATAGAATGCTCTGTTGGATTTTAGATTTCACACAAAAGAGTATTTCCCTACAGCTAGGATTCAGTGGGAAATGAAATGTGTGCACCGTGATATATTTAAAGCTTTTATTTATGAATGTTTACCTTAAACTGTGATTAGTTATTTAATTTGGAACACTTTCCCCCAGTCTACTTAAATCATTTTATCTTACTATTAACAATGAGGGTTTAATAATATTTAATTGTATTACTTGGAACAAGTAGACCTGGAAGAAGTAAATCTAAAGCAGCCTGTGAATTTTAAATTAAGCATCTTTGCCTCAGGAAAACACTCTTAGCCTCCTTGAAGAATTCACTAACTTGCTCTTAACCTCTTGGATCTATCTAGACCTCGAAAATATGCATGAAGCTCTATTTCTTTTTCATCCCTCTTCTTTGTAGATGAACAAGAAGTTTATTTATTTATTTATTTTTGTGGGGAGGAGGGTACTTGATACACTTAAAATTCACAATTACTTTCAAATCACGCACTGCAAGTTCAATCACCATTCATTATTGGTGTCACATTTACTTTGGGATAGGCAAAGTTGTCTTTTCTGTTTGTTTTCCTTATAAAGAAGTGAATTTCCATAATGCACATGTCTCAGAAAGGTAGCTGTATTATTTACACTTCAAGGATAAGCTTTAGTATTGAAAAATAAAGAAATGGCATTTCTTTTTTTTTTTTTCTTTCCTATTGTCGGTTTTCCTTTGAAGCATCAAATAGGATATTGATATTTTTTTGGCACTTAAGCTATTTGCTTACTGTGACTTAACGAGCCATTATAAAGTGAGCCATATCCCCACTGTGCATTTCATACAACTATTACTAGAACTTCTTTTCAGAAGGATTTATCTACTAATCAATATCCATCTTATTGTGCCATTTCCAGAAGGACTAAAAAGACTTCTGAAACAGGGCTTGACTCCACTATGGTTATTCATTCTCTAATAGTTTTAAAATGGACAACAGGGATTACAAAGGCCTCTAGTTTTTGTGATGCGATCACAGTCAGCATTGTTTTTTGATATTTGGGGGGAAGGTGATAATCTCTCAATTACATTGTTGTTATTATGTGCTTTCAGTAGGTTCTAGATTCTGACTCATTTGTTGTTTGTTGTTAAGTGCCATCCAGTCGGTTCTGACTCATAGTGACCCTGAACAGGGTTTCCAGTAGCCTCTGGTGAATTTGAACTGCCAACCATGCTGTTCAAATCGACCTTGCGGTCCAGTACATTATCCCACAGCACCATACCAAGACTCCTTTTTGGTTGGTTGGTTATGTGCCCTGGAGTCGGTTCCGACTCATAGAGACCCTGCATAGGGTTTCTGAGGCTGTAAATCTTTAAAGGAGCAGAAAGCCTCATCTTTCTCCCGCAGAGCAGCTGGTAGTTTCGAACTGCTGACTTTGCGGTTCGCAGCCCAATTCGTAACCACTACACTGTTAGAGCTCCTTATCAGGACTCCTAGAGATCCTGTAAAGAGATTCCAAGGAGTGGCTGGTGAATTTGAACCGCCGACGCTGTGTTTCAAACCAACCCTGCGGTTCCTTGCTTATCCTACCATACACACATACACCATACACACATACACCGTACATTGTTATTGATTGCTAAGTGTCTTCAAGTCGTTTCTGATTCGCAGCGACTCTGTATAGGGTTTCTGCAGAACAGCTGGTGAGTTTGAACCACCGATTTTGCAGTTTAAACCTACCTTGAGGTCAAGTACTTATCCTAGGGCGCCACACCAAGTCTCCACCTAATAAATTAGCAAGAAACAAAGTAGTTAAGCACTCTGAGATTAAATAACGAGATCATTGTCTTTGAAAGAAATCATCAACTTTATGTGTTTTAATTTCAGTGTTTATGAAAGATGATTTTAGATTATGTACACTAACAGCGGACTTTATAAATTCAAACAGACATTTTTAAAAGTTCAATATTATCAATAATGGCTATGATCGGAGTTCCTTCTCTTCGTTTAGTTATATTTAGTATTGTGACATTGAATTAAAATAGGTAATCGTGAACTCTGCATGACTATGAACAAAATACTTTTTGAGCAACAGGACTCTTCCTGTGATAAATATATCTTACAGAAGATTTACAGGTTACAGACAGGCTGTGACCTTTCGATCCCATCTGCAAACAGATTATGCAAAACTGATTAACCCAGACTAAAAACACTGGGCTATTTTCTCTTAGGGGGCTCTTTGACAAAGCCCTCCTTCCCACTTCATTCGCTTGTAAATCACTGTGCCCAGAAAAGTCTTTACTCCCCCAACCCTAAACCTGGAGCCCTGCAGCGCCATCAGCCGCAATATCTTCCAGTGTGAGGGACGTTTCTTATTAATCAGAAACGCTGAATGGAAACCAATCAGATAGAGAGTTCCTTTGGCTTCAGCTTCCTGCCTGTCTGAGTTAAAAGTGATGCTCGAAGAGGGAAGCACGCTGAGATGCATGAAGATTCAGCTGAGAAGATACTATAAAACAGGAAAACAGGGCATGAGACAGAAGCAACCCGGCATTGTCAGTGCTAAGAGGGCTAAGTCAGTTTGATTGCTATACAAGGTAAGTGTTGTTTACTTTGCTTGAAAACATGAGCTACATCAATTTCTGCTGTCTTACAATGAAGTATAAGATTGCTGCTCTTCTCTTGGTTGCTGTATCCTTTGCTCTCTTGCTCTCTCTCTGATTATTTTGAAGCAGGTATAATACATTTTGTAGTTTTGAAGAAAATATTACATTGACTCATGATCAAAACTTGCAATGTCTCCTTCCAGTTTTACTTTAAAAAAAACCAGATACATACTCAAGCTCTTTGTACACTTCTCAAATATGCATATGAAACATTATTATAAAAATATAACTAAACTTCAAATCGTGTTACTAGATTTTGAGTTACATGTTTTGAGTACATGTATCAATATGCCCATGTCTAATATTATTGCATTAAATTAGAAAACGACTCTTGGATTTTTCATTGAAATTGTTCAAACAAAAAATGACTTAGGCCAGCTAAAATTGTTATAAATGAAATAATATATAAGAAGTTGGAACTTCAGAGAAGGACATTGCATGTCAGGATTGAGGTGATCACCTTATCTGATAAGGAGGTTTGTTTCCTCACATAGTATTTATGGAATCACTTAGGTCAAAATTCTGACATGTTAGTCTCTTACCTACCTTTAATTGTTACCTATTATCTTAGCAAATGCATCTTAATGTAGTGAAGAAGAGGAGATCCACAAGAGGAAGAGAGTTTCAAAGGCAAAAGAGTCATTGTTTTTTGTTGTTGTTGTTGTTTTTAAGTGATATGGAAAATTCAAAGATTTAATATATTCATGTTCTTAATGTAATATTCAGATGAATTACATTTTTATAATTATGATCTTAAAAAGTCATGAAAAATTCCAACTGTAAGGTTATCAATATTCTGTAGTATTTATAGTTACTATTTAAAGGGTTTACTCAGAATCTGCTTTAAAATAGTAAGAGTGTTAAGGGAGAAAAGTTATGATATGTTTTGTGCAATCGCCTTTTTAATGAGGATGTAATAGACTGTGAATTTGCAAAGGAATTTGTATTTGTATCTTGATCTCTCTGATCATTTAATATGCAGGGATTTTTCACTAATGATGATCATAAAGATTTTTTCCACAAGGTTTCAGAAATTCACACAGCATGAGAAATGAGTGATTGTGCTGCATTAAAATGAGTGGTACAGTTTGCCTGATATTTGGTTCTATTTGCCTAAGCTATGGATTTAGTAGAGTTTGATTATCTTTTACCTTATATGTCCAAGAATGAATTTAAGCAGTAAGTTTTCTAAACTTGAAGGAAAATGTGTTATAAAAATCTCCTTCATTTAACAGGAGATAGTTTATTTTCAGCTTCAGACAGTGTTTCCATGCTTAGGTGTTGCTATGCTGAATGGAGAGGGCATTTGTGTAACTAAGAAACTGGTGATCCAGATTTGCACTACAGATCTTTTGGAAGATCAGAATATGAAATAGCATGCTATTCTAGTGCATAGCAGCAAAGAACTTAGACATAGCATGGAAAGCAAACATTTGCAGTTTTATGAAATATAGTATGGGTTCAACTAAAGTTTTCTCAACTGTAGAGTTCATAAATAATCATATGAATTTAATAAAAATACACAGATATGTTGAAATGCTATGATAAAATGTAAATTTAAGATTAAATAAATATTATGAGCTAAATTGATTCTGGAACTAATGAGTATAAAATGGTTTAGATGATAGTTTTATTCTAAGAAAAGATAAATGTAAATGTTGAAATTATTATATTTAAAGCTTTATCTTGGTACAATCTAAGTATATGTGAGAAATGATAATGGTTAGTTTCTCTTAGTGGACACTCAGGGCTTTAGAAGCCATTCTTTATGGGCTTAGTAAGTTACCTTATAAGATAGACTACTCTAGAAAGTAATAACAACCAAAGAGCTATTTTGTATTGCTTCCTGGCTACTGGTCACATAATACTGTAATCTTTTTTTTTTTTTT